TTTCCTCTGAAGTGGTTTTATGAATTTTAGTTTGTAAATGTGTTTCCTTCCACTCTCTGAGGTTTCCTCTTTGTGACAACGTTAGTTTACATGAGAAGTCCCGTCTTTAGGGAGAGGGTACCAAGGAAGAGAAACTGGCCCTGCTGCCTCCAGTGGGCATGCCGTGTGACCTCGCTGCTCCCCTGCGTGGATTCCTGTGTGAAGGACCCACGTCCCGCGTGGTTCAGGGTTCAGGATCTGGAGAAGGGGCCACACGCAAATGAAAGAGACGAGACAAGAAATAATAATTTGGAAATATTGGGGGCCAGGCGGGCAAGCCCAATGCAAGAGAAAGAACGTCCACTGGTGCCCAGGCCTCGCCAGCCTTTTATTCAACTTCGGATACACATCTAGCTCTTAGGCAGGCAGGTAATTGTGGTAACAGACAGACAATCTTAAAGGTCAGTAAATATTAGAAGGATTTACTCTGAGAGTATTTGGTCAGGAAGTAGCTTGAGCCCCCATTGTCTGGACTAAACAATCCGTGCATAGCTCTGGCCCTTGCCAAGGGCTCAAGGTTCACCAGCATTCTGGCTCCTTGTTTATACTTCTCTGCAAGTGAAGACAACGGGTGGCTTCCCACAACAAACTACTCTGCACAGTGAGCCTGAGGAGGCTTCTTTTCCTGGGCCTCAGGGCTCCATTTCACCTTGTTAGAGAAATCTATGTATCATCTGAGCATCTCTTTCAGCAAAATGAGTCTCTATTTCCATGCCCAATAAGTTCATAAAGGACAAACATCAGTCTATTTTGCTTCCTGCCTTCTTCTAAACACCTGTGATCAGAGGTGTTTAACAACAGAGCACCGGAGAGGTGACCAGGCAATAAGCTAAAGGGTGGAGACTAGCCCCAGCCACTGTCCCCCCAGGTTTTCATCCAATACCAAGGGTCTTCTTAATCTAACTTTACCCCATCTACCTAAGTTGGCCTCACCATTCATCCGCTGTGACCTCTGGCAAGTGACGTACCTGTTAATGCCTTAGTTTCCCCTGTAAAATGGGGGAGGGTGTTTAATGTTATTACCTGCTGCATAGGGTAGTTTGGGGGAAATAAATGAATTAAGTTGGAACCCTGCTTCGTCCGGTAGTGTTCCCTTATTCATGGTTTCCCTCTCTGCGGTTTCAGTTACCGGTGGTCAACCAGGACCCAAGAATATTACACTGAAGATTTCAGAACTAGACATTTCATACATTTAAAATTGCACATTGTTCTGAGTAGCGTGATGAAGTCTCCCACTGTCCCACTCCGTTCCGTTGGGGACGTTATTCACCCCTTTGTCCAGTGTCTGCTCGCTCCCTATGCTATCTGCCAGCTAGTCATTTAGGAGCCGTCTTGGTTATCAGATCAACTGTTGAGATGGGTGAGAAGGGCAATGCTTGTCATTAAGTCAGCCTTATTTTACTTACAAATGTCTCCAACGAGCAAAAGCAGTGATGCTGGCGATTTGGATATGCCAAAGCGAAGCCAGACAGTGTTTCCTTTAAATGAGAAGGTGAGTACAAGACATTTGAGAGAGAGAAACCACATTGACATAAGTTTTATTGCACGTATATTGTTATAATTGTTCTATTTTATTATTCGTTATTCTTGTTAAAATGTGCCTAATTTATAAATTAAGCTTTATCAGAGGTATGTACGTAGAGGAGAAAACAGTATATCCAGGGTTCAGTACTATCTATGGTTTCAGGTACCCACTGGGGGAATACTGTACTTCCTAAGAACTTGATAAATGGTGATTATTATTAGCTATTAACACAGAACCTCCACCCAGTAGGCCACCCTCACTGTCCTCCTGTCACTCACAGTCCTTCCCAAGTGTCATCTTGCAGCTCTTATTACCCAGAATGCTCTGTTCTCCCACCAGCTGGGAGGTCTGCACAGAGCAGCACAGTCTGGTAGAAATGCAATGTGAGTGGTATGGAAGTTGAAGTTTTCTAATAGTGGCATTATAAAGGTAATAAGAAATACGTAATTTCTTAATAATTTTAATAACATATTTTAACCCAGTACATCCAAAATATCATTTCAGTATGTAATCAATGAGATACTGTACATTCTTTTCTTCCTTTAAAAATCCAGTGTACGTTTTACCCTCACAATACCTTCTAGCTCAATTTCAAGTGCCGACCAGCCAGATGCTGGTCGACCCCAGTGATGTTTGCAAGTCCCTTAGATAATGGCTAACACGTGCTGAGAGTTAGCAATGGGACCAGGCACCCTGCTGAGGATGCAGATTTTATCTCATCTTTACCACAGCCCTCTTAGAGAAGTACTCCTATCGCCCCATTTTACAGATGAGAAAAGAGAGACTTAAAGACGTGAAAGGGCAGCTGTCAGGGTTTGAGCGGCTCCGTCCGGCGGGTTGTACTGTCACCCTCTGAGTGAGGGTCTGCGCGCTCTCTGCACCTGGGAACAGTTCTGCAGTTTGACTCAGAGTAGGAAGACTGGCCATTAACAGAATCTGCCTGGTTTTCCCGTGGCGATTCCTACAAGTTAGTCACCCCATAAAACGTTTATTTGTTTATTTTGTGAACAGACTGTGAGCCCGCGGAATCTGAGCTCCCCTGACCTCCGGGAATGGGGCTGTCAGGGGAAGCTGGTCTATGAAACATCTGCAGGACAGAGCCTGGAAACGATCCCCGCGGGGGATGTTTGCATGGCCAAGGCCTGCGAGGAAAGAAGGCTGCTCCTTACACGGTGTTTAAACACTAGCCCTGAAAAGGAGCTGCCTGCTTTATTGGCAGGCACTTAAAAACGACGGCCTATGATTGAAAATCAAGATGGGTCTCAGATAGGGACCGTCCCCTTTCCTTTGCACAAGCATTGCTTGCAGAGTTGCTTGCAGAGTTCAATGCCAGCGCCAGTGTGCACGTTGCAGCGCCTTTCCTCCACCAGGGGAGGGGGGAGGGGTGTCAGGGGGGCTGACAGCGCTTCTTGCTCATCTTGTTCTTTCCTCCATCAAGGCCAGATTTCGACAGCAGTTGGACCTTCATCCAGGAGCGGATCCAGATGGACTCCATGGTTATCAAGGGCCTCGATCCGGACACACACTACCGGTTTGCAGTGAGAGCCATGAATCCCCACGGCCGCAGCCCGCGCAGCCCGCCCAGCCACACCGTCCGGACCTCCCGTGAGTACCGGGCCCTGGGAAGGATGCACAGGCCTAAGGCCGCCTTCTGAGGACCTACTAAGCGCCCAGCGGAAGGGCAGCCAGGGCCGGGCCTCCCTCAGCCTTTTCTGCGACCCTGTCCCAGCCCTTTGGAAGCTCTTTCAGCAGGGACTCGGGCTGTTGCTATGGACACGGGGTCAGCGCAGGGTTTATTTTTGCACCGTCCTTGGGGAGTGTGAGGTCAGCTTTCTTTCACGACCGCAGGAACAGAGCGCATACCAAGGCCTCCCCACACTTTTTATCCTTTGAGAAAATGGGTTCATTTTAAAATCGCAGGGTTTAAAATAACGCTCCCAGACTCTTCGGGGCCAGTGTTCGCTTGCAAATCAAGGCCGCCAGGTAAGCCAGTCCCTCGGAGGACGGTCAGGGAGAACCAGAGGAGTCACTGGTGTGCTGACACCTATGGGCGTGGATGGCAGAAGATCCTGTGGGTCCCAGCGCCTCTCCCGGCTGGGGGGGCTGGGCGATGGGCAGATCTGCTGGGCGGGGCTTGGTATCTAGCAGATCTGCTGGGCGTTTTTTCAAAATGTCAGATTAAACTCTTATTACAGTCCATAGTTTAAGGAGCTCCCCCATGATGGATTCAGGAACCACTTCAATGACTTAGCCCTCCTTGCCAATCCCTGCTTAGAAATGTTCGTCTTTTGAAAGTGGGGCACATGCACCTACAGCTGGAACCCTGTGTAGCGGGGAGGTCTCAGAACTGAAACTTTGAAGACTGTAATCTTTTCAGTTTTGCCAGTAAATTCCTTCAAGTTTCTGTCTGAAGAGCCCTGCTGTTCCCTGAGTCCCCTGTCCCAAGGAAGGCAGCCTGCCCCACACTGTCCGCTGGCTTTCCATTGGCCCGTGCAGAGCCCTAGTTCTATTGGTTAGTGCATCTGAATAAACCCCTCCCCTCTCCTCACAGGACACCCACACAGCTGACTCCCAAGGTCACGGCTCTTATCAGAGGTGGAGAGTCACCAAGTCCTAGGGATGTGGGCTCTGCTGAGAACAGCCCTAGCCTAACCTTGGGTGTCAGGTTTCTTCCTTCAAAATGAACTGTTGGGGGATCTGGAGATGGTGATGAGGACACACACCCCTACATACGCAATAACGATGATCACCCAATAACTGCCAGACTCCTCTTCCTCTTTAGAGTTTAGGACAGCCGTGGGCAAACTACGGCCCATTTGAAATGAATAAAACTAAAAAAAAAAAAAGACCGTACCCTTTTATGTAATGATGTTTACTTTGAATTTATATTAGTTCACACAAACACTCCATCCATGCTTTTGTTCCGGCCCTCCGGTCCAGTTTAAGAACCCATTGTGGCCCTCGAGTCAAAAAGTTTTCCCACCCCTGGTTTAGGAGCTAAGGCTCCCCAGGCGTATGGCCAGGAATGAAGCACCTGCTTCCTAGAAATGTCAACGATTCTATCTCCAACCCAAGGAGGGCCTCCTTCCACTCCTGCTGGCTGACATCTCTGCTCTACTCTTTGGTTACACTTGGTGCTGCCTGACCCAACATTGGGGTAACAGGGGCCCGACAAGCCTCAGCCTTAGATCTATCTGACTGTACTTTGAACGTGTAGTTTGTCTTTACGACAAGCTAGGCAGTCACACTGTGTGCTCACCCCACTCTGCTCCATGCTGTGAGCTGACCCACACTCACCTTCTTCCTCCCGTCCCTAGTGTCTCCTTCTCCGCAGAGACAGACACGAGAAGGATGAGATGGCCCTGGATGTGGGTGTGGACATCAGAGTCCGGGGAGGGGATGTGGGTTTGGGCATCCCTCGATCTTTCTCTTATTAAACTGAAGCATGGTTCTGGTCTTGGAGTTCCTGATAATCATTGCCCCCTTGGTGGATCCTAGTTTTGTGGATTAAGTAGGATAAGGTATATGAAAGAACTTTACAGATATGTAGTGGTTTTTTTATTGAATTTATTGGGGTGACACTGGTTAAAATTATACAGGTTTCTGGTGTACAGTTCTACAATACATCATCTGTATATGGTATTGTGTGTTCACCACCCCAACAGGTACGTAACGTCTCATTACAATGGGTCTCCTGTGCGAAATAAAATGTTATCATTTCAAAGTAATTGTGCACAGGGGAGGTGGCTGCCTCAGTGAAAACTCTCAATCATGAAATAGTCTTAAATAAATATAATTTAACGGCTTTTATATATATACAGTTACTCACAGGAGGATAACAGAAATAGAATTTGTTTGATGGCCTAATCACGGACACTAAGAATGTACTGTAATCCGTATTTCAGTTGTGTTTTTTTCTCAGGATCCCTTCCAATGTTTTAGAGACCCCTGTGGTTCTGGCACATTCACACTGCTTATTTGCTTTTCGTTTAGACTGTTATTTGTTTCCCAAACCCATTTTCCAATCTATAAAATCTAATTACCGAGGAGCACTTATTTGGATCACAATAGATTCCGGATATCAGAGCTGCCGCTGTGAGAGTCTCCCGTGAGCCAGACACCACCCTGAGCATGTTACCCGGCAAACCCCATACTAATCCTCACAAACAACCTTGTGCTGGCGGAATGGTGTCCCTTCCCGTAGGTTTTTACACATGGAGTTTTTGAAGGGTTGTGGATTTTGCCAAGAATAAAAATTACAAAGCAGGATTTGAACTAGGGTTTGGCTGCCTGCAAAGCCACTTTCCTGAGCGAGATTCAAATTAAAGGTGGTTCTTATTCTTCTAATGCCAATAACATGAGGATGGTAAGGTCAACAATTAAACAAAATGGACTGAGGAAGCTCTGGCAGCACAGGACAAACCTAAAAGATTTTTTTTTTTTCATTGAAAACTTGTGAGGTAGCCCTGGCTAGTGTGACTCAGTTGGTTGGGCAACATCCTGTGCACCAAAGGGTTTCTGGTTTGATTCCCGGTCAGGGCACATGCTGGGGTTGCAGGCTCCGTCCCAACTAGAGAACATGCAGGAGGCAGCCGATTGATGTTTCTCTCACATCAATGATTCTCTCTCTCTGTCAAATTAATTAAAAATATTTTAAAAACATGTGAGGTATACTGTACATCCATACCAGCCTGAATTCACCCAGTATTCGTCGATATAGCCCCGGGATGTTGCAGCCTTGCAGCCAGCAGCTCTTCTGATTGGTTAGATCCTAGTCCAACCAGTGGTAAATCATTTGAACGTGGCCTTGAAGGAATTTGTGAGAACAGTATTTCTACCTGTTGGGCTTTCCCACTCACTCACTGCTCTTCTTCCTCCCCACCTCAGGGTCCTTCATACCTGGTTGTTTTTTTTGCTGTGATGCCCATTTTGCTCCCTAAACAGTGAACTTCAGTACAGAATGTTCAGGTTGACTACTGAGGCAGTGCCCAATGGGAACCTTAGATCCCACCCTGGATGCAGCCAATCACTGGATTTCTCTTGCCTATTTTAGCCTACGCCCTCCTCCTTCCAAAAGAAAAATAACAGTTCAGGTCTCTTACTAACAAGCACTGACTCCCCGGGACCTATTCATGCCAGAACCTATTAGCAGCTTAATTGCTCAATGGGACCACTGGTAGAGCTCAGTTGCTTTTGTGTCAGTAGTTACCGAAAGCCAGGGCCTGCGGTTCCCTCCGTTAGTGCTCAGCCCAGTGAGGAGGGAGGAGGGTTTGGAAGGCTTCACTGGAGTGTTGCTAGGCATCCCCAGCATCCCCATCTTAGCTCCACAAAGTCACTGCACAAGGACGAAGATCCTAGGATGTGTTAGTGTCCATGTTTTCAAATGAGAAATGGAGCATTTCACTGACCTTGACCGGTAATGATGCTACCTGTGTTTACGTCCATCCTTGTACCTGAGACTGTCCTCCTAGCATCCATTCTGTTAGGAAACACAAAGGCCAAGGTCACGGTCTGGTCCCTCACCCTATCCTGCTCGATTTTTTCAGAAATACCAACAACATTATAATTTGCCTCAGTGTTTCATGGCATTCTTTTATCCCCATGGTTGATTTTATAGGTTAGCCGATCAGAACAGAGGGCCCTGTGGAACCTCACCGACATGGGTCCACGCGTGGCTTGGTAGGGCATGTGTTTGCCCCACCAGGCAGCCACTTATTCTCTGGGAGCCAAGAAGGATGGAACGAGTAATACAAATGTGAACTATAAATAATAGAAAGGGCAGAAGTCAGAAAGCGTTTTATTTTTACCAAAGACACATGAAATGAAATGAAAAACAACTCACATGTGTGACCTGCTTTAGGATCATAACAACCTTCCCTGAAAGGTTATCTCATCCTGGCTCCCTAAACCACTTAAATTCTTGTGTTCTATGCTCACGGTACAGTCAGAGCGAAGGGAAATCGGTGCCCTCAGGGCAGTGCCCAGCAGGAGGTGTTCTTTTCTTCCTATCAAAAGTCATTTTTCTCTTCCCCACCTGGGGGCGTTTGCACCCTGTTTTCTCTGCTGGAACTCACTCTCGCCAGTTCCTCCCATGACCACCCCTCAGGCAGGCTTCCCTCACACTGTTACCCCGGCCCCATTCCCTGCTTGATTTTCTCTGTAGCCCTTTCACTGCCTGAAACTATTTATTATCTGTATCGACCCTCTGTATAAGCTCCAACTGGCGTTGGAATGCCTTGTTCAAGGTTGTGTTCCCAACACCCTGAACAAAGCAGGAGCTCAATAAGTATTGATTGAGTACGTGAATGGCTGAATATGACTTAACACAGGGCCTCCTTTTGGGGGCCGGATAACTTTCCGCTGCTACTGTCTGGGGAATTGAGAGGAGATGGGAGGAGAAAGTTGGTCTAGAAACCTTTGGGTTGCACCAAAGGCAAAGTTTATAAGCAAAGTCGAACTCCCAGAATTGTAAAGTGACACCAATAAAAACAAAGTAAATAAAGGAGGGAGGGAGGAAAGAAGGACGGACAGGAGAAAGCGAATCCCTGGGGACTAAGTTCAAGGCCAAAAAGGTGGCAAAGAGGCGTTTGAGAGAAACCCAGCGA